GCATTAAATTTGCCTTTGGTAGTTGTTCGGCATAGCATTTTGCATATCAACTCAGCTTCGGCAACATTATTCGGCTTCATCAACCTTATTCGGCAGTACATCAACTTTACTCGGCAAGATTGTTCAGCACCATTATTAATTCAACATTACGCATGAACATTATTCGGCAATGCATCAACTTTACTCGGCAAGATTATTCAACACCATTATTAATTCAACATTATGCATGAACATTATTCGGCAATGCATCAACTTTATTCGGTAACATTATTCTGCAACATTGCTTACTCGGCTTACTCGACAAGACTACTCGGCCACATATTAATTCATCTACCTCTTCGGTACAACTCGTGATTTAATTCTAGTACAACTATCTTGCTCAGCGTTACTATCTCGACATCAAACTAGCATCTCAGCTTGCTGAAATACACATCTGAACCTACCACAGGATTCGTATCAGCTCAAAGAGTTCAAATACACCAACCAGGAGTCACAATATAACCAAAGTTTGCTAACAATTGCAAAGCGGACCAAAACTTTCAGTACACTGACATTTTTTATGTTAACGAAATTAAGTTTTGACCATACCAATGTGAAGTACTCATTGAGACGAGTCCAACACAACAAACCGCGTCAAAATCGAACTTCAAACGAATTCGTACGAGCTCGTCGAAGTTTGTCGAACAACGTCATTATTCCGTCGGAGAAGATGACTGGATTTGGAGTTGGCCAACTTAAAAAATTATTGTGTGCATTGTGGCTAAGTTGCCTCCTGTCATAGCCAAACAATCAAGTTCAAATATATAATGTGTAAAACACATACACAAGGGTCTAAAGTGGTAAAGTGGTTAAGTATTAAATTTTGGGCAAATTACATATACACCCCTCCAGGTTTGGTTAAATTACAGATACCCCCCTGAGGTTTCGGAAATTACATCCCGCCCCCTGAGGTTTGTATTTTCATAACAATTTACCCCCTGAAGTTTATATTTCATAACAAATTACCCCCTAATTTCTTATGCAAATATAGCATTCAGGGGGAATTCGTAATTTCTCAAACCTCAGGGGGGTATCTGTAATTTTGTCAAACCTGGAGGGGTGTATATGTAATTTGCCCTTAAATTTTCCTCACAATGGCATGAGTTTAGGTAGCAACTTTACTTATATTTTTTGCCGAGCCGTCAAATTCAGCATCTCGCAGAGAAATTATCTAGTGCTTCACGGAGCCTAATTCTCCACTGATCAGAGCCGTCGGATTTATTTTGGCTAAAATTACGCCATTTGGAGTTCGATTCCAACGATCCAATAGTCGTTTCCAATTATTTGGAGTCTTCTGAACACATCCGTAAGGTTTGATTTTGTACATTTCATACCAATAATTTGTAGATTTTATATGTAGTATCACATATCGCAGCACCAACAACACTTTCGCCGTCCATCTTGGCATTTGATCAATGCCGAATTCAACAATTTTGGCGTCTTCCTGCCACTATAGCCACCCGTATCATTCGGAAATTTTGGCTCAAATCGATTCCGAATTCCTTCTAAATCACCCCTATCATTCAAAAGCAATGGGGCAACATGACAATGGAAGCAATTTTACAACTAATTCCATGACCGTTCAATGTGGTGATGGTACAATTTAATCGGCTTAACGCTCCTTTAACGCTCCTCGCCTAACTCATTGAACAACTCTTACACTCACTTGGTGCTTTAAATTTGGCAACTTGGCAGTTCAATCTGCATTTAGCCGTGTCAAAACCTACTGTGCAAAACCTATGCATCATTCAACAATTCTTCGCATATTTTGCGTGCCATCATTTTTATAACTTTTACAGCTCTCCACTTTTTTTGTAGCCGATATATCTACATTATTTGCGTACAGTTCTTCGCATATTTGCTTTTACAGCAATGCACTACACCCTAGCCCTGGGGTTATAATACCGCGGCCTACACCCTCGCCCGAGAGTTATAATACTGCAGCCTACACCCTTGCCTAGGGGTTATAATACCGTGGCCCACCGTTATAAAGGTAGTATTACTCACTGGGCTTTAGCTCACCCCTCTCCCTTATATACATATACTTATACATACATTCATACATACATGCATTCCTCCAGTCATTCATTCATTTATTCTTTGTCGAAGGACCTAACATCTATTTGAACAGCATAACTCGACAATAAAAACTCTCATTTCTTTTACCGAAGACAATGAAAGTTTTAGGACAATTGTGGGAGTCAGAAAAAAATATATATCAGCTTATTGGGCTAACCCAAATAAGGCTCGCCAAAGGGCTAGCTATTGGGCTTATTCGGCCCACCCTCTGTCTATAAAAGGAAGGCACCTCATGTCATATAGGTATGATTTTTCTCTGCACCTTACTCACAAAACTCTTTGCAATTCTTGATTCTGCATTCATGGATTCTAACTTCATCATCGAAATGTCCCCGGCTGGTAATCTCGGTTGGGTGGCATTAACCATATTTATCTCTTGAAGGTTTATGGTACTATCTTCGTTGAATCTCATTAATAATTCATGTGAGAGGATATTTCATAGTCTCACATTTAGGTAATTTTATTATTGTATAGGAGAGCAATTATGAATTTTATTTTTTCAATTAATTCTGTTAAATAAAAATTCTAATAAGGGGATATTTGTAATTTTTTAAACCACAAGGAGTAATCTGTATTTTAAGCAAATCTCAAGGGGTGTATTTGTACTTTATCCTAAAAAATAATAATAAATGTGTATAACATAATCATATAAGTCTAATAAAAAAAAATGTGTAATTCGGTTTAGTTTGATTTTTGCTTGTAAGATTTGGACTTACGGGTGGGACACAGATAATATTAAGTTTTTCTTGGAAGGGATAGTTTGAGTCAGGCTGATGGGATAGTCAGACTGAATTTACCCATCCGGGCTTGTACGGATTGGGTTCATAGGAGGGCTTCGGTTTCAAATCTTTATCCAAAACCCTAAATGTGTGTTTGTTTGGACAGACTAGATAAGGGGGGATTGCAATCCACAAAACTGTTAGTTTTAGAATACATTGTCCCAGACTATTTGATTGGACTAGATTTGTATCGTAGGTTTATTTAGTCATGAGATTAGATGTCTGTATTGGACTATTCTATTAAATCCTATGTTTATTTGGTCGTGAAATTAGATGTTTAAATTAGACTATTTTATTCAATCTGATGTGCATCTTATTTTATTTAATTTTTTAATAACTTTTAAAAAATTAAATAAATAGAATATCAATAAATATTATATAAATTTATTTTAAATTTTAGTTGAGATTTTTTAATTTTATTTTTAATTTACTAAAATTATATTAAATTTATTTTAATTTTATTTTAGTTGAGATTCTAATTTTATTTCAATAAGCTCACGATAATCCCAATCTTGAACTTATTTTGAGCTTTTCGTCCCACAACCCCCGGGATAGAGTTGTCCTATATATGAGGAACTATTAGTCAAGATAGAATCACAGTCTGATATAAAATTTCTAAACTAAAAAAAGAATTATTTCATCTACCAGACTGTGAGTTTTATCCTATGTTTCCATCCCTCCAAACAAACGTGCTCTAAATAATCGTCTACAAAATGAGACGGACCGAGCAGTCAAGTGGACTAAGATAGGTCATGAAATGAATTGATCATGAATCTGGTTAAAAAAAAGAAAAAGTAAATGGGATTCAGATCCCCTCTTTGCCTTTCTATTTGGCCCTAAGAGTGAAAAAATAGTCAGTGACCCATGGGCAGCTCGAAACCTGCCCATGACCCGGGGTGGGCGTAGGTCCGAGCCTAGCCTAGGACCCTAGGCCATCATGTCTCTTGGCCTAGGCCATCATGTTGAAGACATGCCCCATCCATGGGCCTGACCCATCGATCCACTCAAGGTTCACTCAAAACTTGGTCGGAGACCCAGTCTACACCAAGGTCCAGTGTCATTTTTAGTGAAAAAAAATAAAAAAAATAAAAAAAATATTCAAACTCTGACCAAGCCCGAGCATAGACCCAAATCCACTGAACTGGCTCGAGGCCTGACTCACTGATTCGTCTAAGGCCTGAATACCCTTAGACTTAGGCCAAGTTTGGCATCCTCCAAAAAAATCCAAAAAGTCAAAAAGTCATTATCCTATTTAAGTCACATCATCTTATTTAAGTCACATTACCTCTCTAACACATCATTTCAAATCCAACCCAAATCCAAACTCAACCCAAATCCAAACTCAACCCAAATCCAATCCATATTTCATAAAAAGTCAAAAAGTATATTTATTTAGGCCAAGTTTGGGAAGACTAAATAAGTGCACTTTTTGTCTTTTTAGACTAAAAAGTTGAGGTTGAAAATATGAATGTTTGGGTTAACTTTTTGACTTTTTATGGAAAAATGTGTAATAAAAAATTGTAAAAATTGATTTGTAGGAGAAAATTAGAATTGGGAGTTGTGCAGCCGTAATTGTTGACTTTTGGTGAATAGTGATAACTTTTTAACTTTTTGAGTAACTTTTTGACTTTTTAACTTTTTGGGGTGTTCCCAAACTTGGCCTTAGTCTTCCCAAACTTGGCCTTAGACTTAGGCTTGGCCCAGGTCAAATTTATACCCGGGGGACGGCGGGAGCTTCTATTTACACACGCCCATTCCCCTCTTTACACATCTTTTTTAATAAATAATTCATTCGGAAGTAGATTTCCGAAAATAAGTAATTGGTTCGGAAGTAGCTTTCCGAAAATAAACAATTGGTTCGGAAGTAGACTTCTGAATTTTTATTATTTTTTCGACATTCAACTTCCGAATGTGTTTATTTGATGTCTATAATAGTAATTTCACTTAAAAAATTTTTATAATAAAAATAATTTTTATGAATTGTGTGCAAAGAGGGAAAGGTGGACGTGTAAATAGAAGCTACCGGGGACGGCCCAGATTGGGCCCAGGAGACGAGTCGCTCGGATCACTTTATAAAAGATAAAAAATAAAAAAAAATAAAACCAAAATTTTCTGCTGAAGCGTGAAAGAGGAGAGACAGAGCTGAGCAAACGAAAAGAGAGAGGGGGAGGGAGACGCGTCGACGAACCATCCCAGCCAGCATCGCCGCTCACCGGCGACCACCGCCCATCGGCCATTATTGTCCGCCGGAGCGAAGAAATTCTTCAATACCCTCCTCCCGAGAAGGTTCTTGGTTTTCCTTTCTCTCCCTTGAGCTTGTTTTATTGCAATAATAATTAATCGTTGTTGTTTGGATTGGAGGTCAATCGATTCACCTGTGTAGATAATACTACTTGTTGAATTAGTTTTTGATTCTGATGTTGTTCACAGTTCTAATTGGAACAAGATCTTGAGATGTTTAAGAACACATTCCAGTCTGGTTTTCTTTCCATTTTATATAGCCTTGGGTATGTAACTCTTTCTGTTTTCTATGTTTTCTTCTAATGAATTGATTCGTAAAGTTTGTTTTTGACATTTGCATATTATTTTTTTTTAATTTTTATTTATTTAATTTTTTTGGTGGGGTTTATATAGGAGTAAGCCCTTGCAGATATGGGATAAAGAAGGTGAGTGGCTTCTATCATTTATTGCTGGAGATTCATAGTTTTGGTCTCTTCTTTGTGTCAACGTGCAGTTTCTTTGTGTTATTCATTGCAGTCTTTTAGTTCAAGTTGACTTGTTGGGCATCTCTTTGATAAACTCTAATAATCTCTTAATCATTAGAATGGAAAAGATTATGTCACCAATGCAAATGCCAATCTCTTAGGTTAATGTTTCCTTATATTTTGATTTGTTTGCTATATGTTGTTGCAAAAAAACGCTATTATGCATTTTTCTAGCCTTGGTGGGGGTGTGTGGGGCTGTGGCATTGGATGTAGTGCATAGAGGGTGACACATTTATCTTTTTCATCAGTCAACACATCACATAAAGATTTACAAGAATATAACCAGATGAATAAATAAATAGTCCACTCTCTTCTGTCAATGGACTCTTTTGCTCCAAGAGACACCATTAACGATACATAATAAGGAAATCAACTCATTGGTCTCATGAGCATTTAGGTTCTTGAAGAAATTAAAATTCCAAATTGGAGTCTTAAAAGAAAAAATCATGCATGCAAATGCAATGGAGGTATATGAGAATGAAATAACTAATACAATCAAGGAAGCTTAATGCTTAGAATAAACCTCACCCTTCCCCATGTCCTCCTGAAACCATACTCTCTCCAGCTTTGTTACCCATAGCAAAACAATTTAGCCGAGACAAATGAGGGAGCTCATCATAAGAGATGGACTTCCATGTAGATCGACTATTTTCCTAGTCAACTATATGAGAATCTCAAACATTGGCTTGAATCCCATAATTACTTTTAACAACAAAATACTATGAAGAATTATGCGCAATCAGGAATCTTCTTAACTATTTAACATGCACGACTGTATTATTAGCTAAATTATTTCTCAACCCAGTACCCCTTTTTGTTCTTGAAGAGAGAACTTTTTGTGGAAGGCACAGTGAAGTCAGGCTAAAGTAATATTATGAGTTGATAAAACTAGTTTTCAGGCTCAGTGCACAGCAATTTTTTTGTCTCTCGCCCCTTGCAGTTGTCAATGGCCACATCAAAAGACCACAAGACGAAGACATACAATCCAATGTCCTGGAAATAGTTGGATCAAATGTCCAATCAACATACATTACATGCCCAGTAGATCCAGCTGCAACGCTTGGTATAAAGCTTCCATTCTTAGTTATGATTGTGAAAAATCTTAAGAAGTACTTTACATTTGAGATTCAAGTATTGGATGACAAGAATGTTAGGCGACGTTTCCGAGCTTCTAATTTTCAAGTAAGTAAACCTATTGTGATGGTAATTTTTTTTGTTTCCCCATTTATAAATTCTTTGTGCTACACAGAATGCTTTTGGTGAGTTATGGTAGTCCTTGGTAAAACTGATCATGAATAGGTCCTTTTATTACAGTATTATGATTTTCAGGAAATGTGTTGTCTTGGCCATTTAGGATTCCACAAGATGTGGGATCAAATGTCTAAAATTAGAATGTAAATCATGTGTTATGCTCTGCTAATTTCATGTCAACAGCAATATTAATGCTTACAAATTTTATTCGGGGACCTATTCAATCATTAGTAAAACCTCTTTTAACATGTTTGTTTTGGGAAATCCTTTAAAATTCAAATCTCCATTTGAATGAGTGGATTTGAAATAAAGGGATTTGAAAGAACTTCATAAAATCTGTAAGATGGTTAATTATTGGAGGTGGATTGATAATTTTGAAGTTAAGGATTGAACAAAGATGACTATATATATTTTGTTCTTAACAAGTGAAATAATTCATGGAAGGATTTCAAATAATTATATGCACCCATTTATTTCACCTCCACCAATCTAAAATTTGTTAGAATTTGTCCCAGATCGCCTAGAGTTGTCCCATATATGCTGGTTAATAAGGCTTTAGTTTTTCTCTCCTTAATACCTGGGTTTTAAGGAGAAATGTGGGCTGGACATTTCAATTGGGTATCAGAGCTTAGTTGGGCTTGTGATTGGTGTGCCATTTGTCTAGCTACTATATGTTGTGGTCCAGGAGAGTGCGTTGGAATGTGTCCCACATCGTCTGGAGTTGCCCCATCTATGCTAGTTATAAGGCTCCAGTTTTTCTCTCCTTAATACCTAGGTTTTAAAGAGAAGTGTGGGCTGGACTTTTCAATTGAATTCTCAAATCCATTCTTTGATTTAGATCTAAAATATTACAATGAGTAAAAGGTTATACTCCTTGAATGAATGATGCCAAATCCATTGATTTGAATTGAAATTCATAAATCCAAATGCAACCTACTATAGTCCATTACTCTACTCTTCTTGTTGAGGTATGCAGGTAGGATGGTCTATTATTTGGTCTGTCATGGAAGGACTTCAATAATTTATATGACTGAATAGAGAGCTAATCTCTTATTTGATGGTTTCTTTATATTCAAGCAAAATTGAGGAGGCAAATAGGCATCTATCCTATTATATGAAATTGATAATGGTTTGGTATGATTTGTATGTCCTAGTTCAAACATTGCCACTTGATAGTCTCAGACATGCAAGTTATGGAAAAGATAATCAACAAAGAGAATGGGAAGTAAGGAACCCACAAAAAGTGTGTAATCCCCACTTCAGAACTCTCTAGAGCCTTTTATCAGAACAAAAAGAAAAAAGAGTTGGTCAATATGCACTTGGTTGCAATTGTTGTTTCATAGCAAATTGTATGACGTGGTGTACTTGCTTGAGAATTGGATAACCAAAAAAATGTTGAAAATTGACCTAGTATCACATGTGGATGTGATATGAGTTCTTGACTTTTAGCAGTTGAAGAACACAGGTTTGCAGCATTGAAGATGGTGACTTTGCATTATTTTATTTTATATCCGTATTGACCTTCGGGCAGATGAATATAAATATTTCAATGAAGGATGTAGCCAAGAGTTTTCTGAATTACATTTAAGAGTAGTACCTTCTCATTTGTTCTTTCATTCCTCCCCTCTCTACTTTCCAATTTTTCTAAAGTTTACCACCACAACACTGTTCTTAAAGATGTAAACCTTTCCTTCAACTTAACATTCAATATTTCTTGAATTGCGACCAAATTTTAACCCAAGCTATTGAAGTTCACTCTTTTCATGTTTATGTTTATTGCAGAGTAATGAAATTCTTCCTAAATAGTTTTGGAAAGAAGAGTGTAGATTGGATAGGGTAAATTAATTTTGTAAATTGACCTAGTATCACATGTGGATGTCATGAGTTCTTGACTGTTAGCAGTTGAACAACGCAGGTTTGCAACATTAAAGATGGTGACTTTACTTGGCATTATTATATATTATATACACAGTGACCTTTTGACATGTCAATATAAATGTTGCAACCAGGGACGTAGCCAGGAGTTTGAATAGAAATTAATAGTACCTTCTTATTTGTTTTCATTCGCCCCTTCTTTACTTTTCAATTTTTTCTAAAGTTTATGGCCACAAGACTATTTTTTAAAGGGAAAATTACACCAGTAGTCCCTACATTTTGTTTCTTGTGTCATTCTAGTCTCTACAGTTTCAATTGGCTCACTTTTGACCATTAATTTTAGATTTTTAGTCAATTTAGTCCAATCAATAATGTCGGTAGGGTTTTTGACAAAAAAAATTCATTGAATTGGTTGAGGTTGAGTCATTAAATTGATTAAATTAACAAATTTTCTCCTGAAAGTATGATACGTGCCACTCATGTGCACTTTTACCATAAAAAAATACTAACAATTAGAAGCAATTGGACCAATTTGAGACAAAATAAAAAATTCAGGGTTAAAAATTGATCCAACTGAAATTACAGGAATCAAATTGATACAAGGGTCAAAGTATAGGGACTAGCAGTGTAATTTAACCCTTCTTTAAATATATAGACCTTTCTTTCAACTGAACATTCAAAATTTATTGAATTATTGACCAAATCTTAGCTCACAAATTTACTCATTTCATGTTTATGTTTATTGAAGAGTAATGGAATTCTTCCTAAATAATTTTGGATAGAAGAATGTAAATGCTCTAAACCTATTTTTATATAGATGGCTAGTTTAAGGTTTTTTTAGCAAACTCATAACACAATCTCATGAAAATATTGGAAAATGATACACAATCTGAAAACTCATCTGATTGAACTGACTAATTTGGCTGCAACATTTCTGGTTACTTTTCTATGTTTAGTAATGTTATTTTTGGGAACAATGTTCTATTCATAAGTTTCCTTTTAGCTTGAAACTTCACCATGATGCTCATCTTTTCCTAGTCCTGGCCCTTATCTCCCTATGTGTGTATATATGTATATGTACCTATCGATAAAAAGGGGGCAAATAGAACTTTAAATCTCAAAACAATCATAGAACCTGTGTTTGATAGCTTACAATAATTGCTCTTGCATAAGTTTAAGATGGAGTGAACAAACACGTGAAACAATTGTAAAATCTGTACTTAAGAATTGTTAAAATGAAGTAAACAAACTTTAATGTAAACCAGAGATCTTAAACAATTGTTATTGCCTCTGAGATGTTTGTTAGATTTTTGTTCCATTGCCAATTGATCTATAAGCTTATTTCTTAACAAGAGAACGAGATGTGAAGGCAATAGAACATGTCAAACAGATTTTCATTCAATTTGGTCTTTCTTAGGGAAAATCATTTCACAAACTTACATGGACATCTTATTATTTTCGTTTACTTCAAATTTACATAGGTAGGGAGGCTATTCTTAAAAATTGGAAACCTTGTGTGTACCATTGACGAGCTATTTTCTCATATTTGAGGAACTATGTGGTAAATACATAACTGGAAGAGGATTTTGAACTTTATTGTGGTCCCCTCATACCCTCCTTCCCTTCCTTTGTTGTTGTAAATAAGAGTTCTCTACTCATTTCTTGTAGGCTGTGACTCGAGTGAAACCATTTATATGCACAATGCCCTTGAAAATGGATGAGGGATGGAATCAAATTCAGTTGAATCTTGCTGATTTTACCAGACGAGCTTATGGAACCAACTATGTTGAGACATTGCGAGTTCAGGTTCATGCAAATTGTCGACTGAGAAGGATATATTTCTCTGACCGCCTTTATTCAGAGGAGGAACTCCCACCAGAATTCAAACTCTACCTTCCTATGCAGGTATGATTAACTGCTTACCTCTTCATTCAGTACACATTTTGAACTTTTGGGCCTTCTTCCAGTGACTTCTGAATCTCATATGTCCACTACTGATTTGTTGTAGAAACCGTGATGCTTTCGTGGAACCTTAATTGCTGAAGGAGTTTCTTGATGTTTAGGTCATACTCTTTTTAGTCAACAGTTTATGCATATGCAGAGAGTCAATTCATAGATTAAAAAAAATTCTGTTTGGTGTTTAGTTGGTGCCAGTCAGACTAGATATGAATACTAGTGGTGGTATAATTGTCTACATAATTTGCATTTGAATTTTTGTGCTAATCTGCTATAACTGGTGTGAATTACCCTTATTGACTTTGATTCTTGCTGTTTTAGTGCCAGTCTCTGACTAATTGGTGTGGAGATGTGTTGAATGAAAACAGTTTAGGGCCTTGTTATAAGGTAGTTTTTTGCATGGGAGTCTGGGTGTTGTATAGCCCTACTTTTTTTATGACAATTATAACAGATTAAAATCTAAGCCTAATTTCTGTTTGTTCATCAATAGATTGAGAAGATTCAACAAAATTTCTTGGTTCACAAGCATTGCATCAAGTTTCTTTGGACTATATATATATCTTATAAATTAAAGAACTATAAATTTTTAAGAAAACAAAGATTACACAACAAAGATAAATTATAGAGAAAGTAGTTTTTCAAAAATTATTGACGGTTGATCTTCAAGACCATCGAAGTTCCATTTTATTCATTTGTTTTTTTCATCTTCACATGACCTCTTTGTATAGGCTTCCAGCCAAAAGATGAAATATTTTTTGTATTTAGGCTTTGTTGGTTTGGTAGATTAGGTTGAATGAGATTATACGAGTACGGTGGAATTAAGTAATGGGGTTATTAGTACGGTGGTATCAGGTTGGAGATATAAGATAAAATGTGATTGTTTGTATATTAGTGTGATGGTATTAGTAGATTGTGATTAAGTTTATGAAATTACGTAAAAGTCTTGATTGTATAAAAGGTAACTTTGTTGTTTTTCTAAAGTAGGGGCAAAATGGGTTTTTTCACTCCCAATCCCTTGGAATTGGATTAGCAATCTCACCCCTCCCATGGGAATGTTAATGCCACCATGTGGGGGATTCATAGTCCCATTCCATTTTTGCTAACCAAACATGAGTTACGTAAGGACCATATGATTGCTAATCTAATCCCCTCATCTACGAGCCAAACAAATATGGCCTTCGTGTGAAACATCAAAGGGTTGTACAAAACAACAAAAGGTGAGACCCTCCAGTAGAGAGGACAAAGGCTAATGAGCTGGTTGTCCTAGTTGCCTCCTTTAGACATCTGACAAATGTTAAACATGTGATGTCAGCTTTCTATTTGCCAAGTTTTCTTTGGTCATATAAAGTCCCTTTTCAGCTCTATATTGTATTGACAAACCGTTGTTATTACTTAAAATTACTATTTATGGTAGACCCTCCAGTCGAGAGGTCAAAGGCTAATGAACTGGTTGTCCTAGTTGCCTCTTATAGACCTCTGACAAATGTTAAACTTGTGATGTCAACTTTCTATTTGCCAAGGTTTCTTTGGTCACATAAGTCCCTTTTCAGCTCTATATAGTAATGAAATATACTTCTAAATCTGTCTTGTAAGCATATAATGGCGCTGCTTGGTGCAAGCTTATTGTAACCTAGAAATTCATAATCCAAAAACAGAAGCCAAAAGCACCCCACACCCAACTTCCAGAAATCAAAATTTTTTTTTCCATTTTATTTAAGTTATTTCTGCTTAATAGGCTATAAGCCGAAACTGTACCAAAGTCGCGGAATAAAAAAGCTATAAGCAGCTCAAATAAGATGCACTAAACAGCCCCAATATTCCTAAACAGATGTCAAAACTTGATTAACACTCTAGGAGACCATCATTGTCTTTAATGCATCCCTCAACTCACCTTGATGACCTTGATCATCTTCAATGCAAAATCTTTATTAATGAAGAAAGAAGCTTCTGTACTTGATTTTTATGCGACCAAAATATTTAGCATTGACTCCATTATCAACTAGCTTCCAAAAGCTCTCTTTGGGTGGAAGAGTCCAGCCCAAACTCCCTGGGTTCTAAGCTTTCTCAGTCACACACCATGGCCTCCACCTGAGACTAAAACTGCTTCTGTCCGAGTTCCAAGCTCATTATACGCTCACTGTTTGGTCTCATATTGACCATCTTGTTACTGAAACAACATCATAATCCAGTAAATAACCTACTGTGAGATCACTTTGCATTTGTTCTCTCCCTTATGAATCTCTCATCGCATTTTTCCTTATGTTTAGTATGACTAACAAAATGGTTTCGTAGCACTATTCTGAGCCTTTAGCAAGTCCAGAAAGGAGTTTCATAACATCTCTGAACACACCAAAGGTCTCTCTGATCCATCTAGATGTTTTAGGACCACATTTGTGTTGGGCCTAGATCTACAAAAACCGCACGAATGAAGGTTTAAGGCCTATTTTTTAGGTCCATAGCAACCACTTGCGCAACATTATCTAATATGCTTTCCAACGAAATCAGTAAACCCTAATATGCTTTCTGATTCAAACTAGTGTATTTCAAACTTAAACCGAATTGTATTTTAATTGGATGTTGTGGGCTTTCAACCCTTAATCTATTAAAATGGTATCCTCTTCCAAATAAACTGGATTTATTTACTCTATCTACCTTTTCTTGGTTCACCCTGCTAGTTTGAAAAATCGGGGTGTGACATGTTCTATAAATGGAAGAAGTCCATCTATAGTTTGAAGCAGTCACTTCAGCAATAGTATAAACAGCTTGATTACTTCTTGATTTGATAGAAATACACTGGAAGTTAGTATGGTCATTGTATATATTTGAGGAAATTTGCAAATGGATCCTTTAAATATTTACTTTTATGTGGATGACGTGTATGTGGTATGTAGAAGTATGCTGGAGACAGATCGCTTGAAGACTCAGTTGGGAAACAAATTTGAGATGAAAGACCTTGGCAAGGCACGAAAGATATGAATGATTGCTCAAAACCAGCAAGTACTCCATTAGCTCCACATTTTAAGTGTGGTGCTTCATTGTCTCCTAGTACTGATGAGAAACAAGAGTTTATGGCTCGAGTTCCTTATCCAAGCTTGGTTCGTAGCCTTATGTATGTCATGGTGTGCACAAAGCCTAATATCTTACATGTTAGTATGGTAAGCCAATACATGTGTCACCCAAGAAAAAAACATTGACAAGCAGCGAAGTGGATCTTGTAGTATATTTTGGGGACTGTAGATCTTGGTTTAAAGTTCATGGAGGAATGAGCTGATCATCTTGTTGTGGGTTATGCTAATTTATATTAGGCTAGTGATCTTGATAAGTGTTTTTTTAACTACAAATTGTCTTTCTGTGTGCTGGAGGACCGATGAGTTGGCGATCTACTTTGCAGTCCGTAGTTGCACTCTTGACAACAAAAGATGAATAAATGGTAGGAATAGAATTCATATAGGAGAACAAGTAGTAAATTTGGGTACCAATCAAGAGCATGTTATCATTTATTTTGACAATCAAAGTACAGTTCATTTAGCGAAGGAAAAATTCTCAATTTAGGTGATCATTCTCGTACCATACATATTGGTGTTCGTTTCACTCTGTTCGTGAGATTATGAAGAAATCTTACTTTTTAGAAAATTGGGACGGTAATTTTGCAGATATGTTAACTAATTGTCATGGGTTAAGTTTTCACATTGTTTGGACTTAATCCACTTGGAGATTGTTCGAGTGAATGTGCTTTTTGAGCACCACTTGTTGGCAGTTGTGAAGTGTGAGTTGTAGCTATCTTGTTCTGCAGTTTGTTTTGGTACATCAGATCAAATCTAACTAAACTGGAGATATGTGAACTTTTGGCTCGATTTCATTAATCATGTTCAGACCTCTTAAGCGGTGATTTGTCTGTCTCTAGATCTATTCAGATTGAGTTTGTTTCACCACTCGAGCGGTTTTGTGACTGCTCAAGCTGACTTTGGTGGTGGACGGGGTCTTAAATGTGATCAAATGCCAATTTTGACTTTCAGATTGTGATTTTTTTTGGGTGTATTCTGTTTCTTTTTAGGAGTGGCTACATTATATTTGGACACTCTACTATAAACGTAGTCAGTGTCTGTCTATATTGTATGGAAATCAACTAGAGTTTGGTGTGAGATTGTGGGAGTGGATCTTGAGATCCTATTCTACCTCCGTGTCCTATACCACCATCACTATCTTATCACCATAATACAAAAATTGAAATATATAATTTAAAAATAATAGATTTTAAACTTTATCTTGTATGTGTCAAACAACTTATTTTAATTCAATACTTAAATTTTTATCAAATAACTTTTCAGATTAAAAAATTCAAAATTTAATTTTCAGTACTTAATTTTCAATTTTCAATTTTTAATTTTATCAAATACTACCACATACTTACAAAGAAACATTAATAGACCGTCAACATGATTCACAGATTTATTAATCAGAAAAGAAAAGTTTTATTATGGGAAAATTACCCCTTGGTGGTAATTTAAAAAAAAATTATTACAGCCTATTTTGAGAAGGGGGGGTTTTTTTTTTTTTTTTTTGTGTGTGTGGCTTATTGGCTTATTATGAAAAAAACATATAAAAAATATGAAGAGATGATGTAATCTAAATAAGTAGAAACCCAAAAAAGTCAAAAAGTTAGTTTTTTTTTTTTTTTTTTTGGCCTTTCCAAAAGAGGCTGACATAAGATAAAAGATAGTTTTATTCTCTAAAATATGCATTTTTATTTTTTGGTCATTTTAGTTTTTCACGTTTCAATTTTGTCATTTTGGTCTTTAAAGTTATCAATTTGAGTCAATTTGGTTCTATTTCTAATCTTTGTTTACATTGATAACGGAAAAATTATTTTACCCTTGGACAAAAGACAGCTTTGGTCCTAAAATATGTGTTTTTTTGTCATTTTAATCTCTTTAGTTTCGATTTTGTTATTTTGGTCCTTAATGTTGTTAATTTGAGTTAGAACCAAATTGACAACTTTGATGACCAAAATAACAAAATTAAAATTTCAAAGGCTAAAAAGAAACGTATATGTTTTGGACTAAAATTATCTTTTATCTATATTCATTTTATCAATGTAAACAGATGTTAGAGATAGGATCAAATTGAATAAAATTGACAACTTTGAGAATCAAGATGTCAAAAATTGAAGGTAACAGACTAAAATGACAAACACATACTTTAGGGATTAAAACTATGTTTTATCTTTATTATGTGTATGCATTTTTTTTATTAATAATCTTAATTATTAATATCGATAAAGTTTATCGGTAATTTGTAATTATTTTTTAATTTTTACATTAATGTAAAATTTTCCCTTTCATTATTATTATTTATCAGGAAAAGAAAACAAAAGCTTTATTAATGCCATCAAAATGAACTGGAAAAGTAGAGGGGAGCAAGGAGCAAAACCTGCATCATCACAAAGAACAACTAGAGAACGAACTACTGGATCTTAGTTCTCAATTGTTTATATACGAGATAATTCAGACCTAATTAAGTTGAGTTGGGCAGGAGATACTCTCGATTATTTATACACCCCCAAAAAGAAAAGAAAAGAAAAGAAGCCTCGGACAAACTTAGGAAAACAAGCTATGATATTCAAGCAACAACAGTTACGAAACAATTTAATGGAGTACATCAAGAACAACATTATTGAAACAACCTATGATCCATCCACCAGAGGGACTACTTGTTTTTAGAGAGCACTTGGGTTGGGTGACGCATAATCCAGGAACTCCTGATCACCTTCAAATAAGGCCATATCCTCTTCAATCAAAAACAACCAAATTTCAACTCCTTTGCCATCTCTTGCATCAAACAGTGTCGTTCCAACGATGCCAAGCATACCAACAATACTCACCCATGTTGTCTTCCCCCACCCAAAATCAACTTGGTATATAGGAAACCTACACCAACTACTTTGGCTAAGTAACTCCATAACATCTTCCTTCATCCCCATTTTGTTCCCCTTGCTTAACTCTTCAAGCCCTTTCCTCAGCTGATACACCAAACTCGCCAAGTCGGCGGTTTCTTGACTCTCGTGGTAGTCACTGCCATCGTTATCAAGCATTGCCCAGAATGCTTTGGTTACATTTCCAAAACAATATTTTGGTAAGGGTGGCACAAACCTTGACCGCATTTTCACCGCTCCCATCAGCGCATACGGCCTTCAAGACCCACCAAATCTTGATCTGGATGTAGCTACTGTGCATTTCCATACGAGCGCTGCGACAACCTCAACGCGTGTGGGTTGTGGCAAGCTCACGCTGGTTGTTTTGGCCTTGAGGTCAGCAATTTTTGAGGCCTCAATCACAAACCTCTTTAGAACAACTTTCTGGCTTGTGTTGTTGATTGTAAACGATCAGAATGGGATATCCTTTCTTGGGGGATAGCCAGATAAGGCAGCACTGAAATCTGGGACTACGGTGTCCGGAGATTCAAGAGCAATGACGGACCAGCCCTTCATAAATGCTGCCAAGGCCATTCCATCAGTGATCTTGTGGGACATTGACACGACAACGGCCACTCCGCTGCATGGAAAAAAGTTAACTTGAACGAGTAACGTAGGGGCCTTGTAATGATCTGTGGGTTGGATTGGATTGGAGCCAAAGGGTCCATGCCTTCAATTTTGGGTCGTTCAAGAACATCCGATAGACTACAGTCGATAACTCGAGCTTCAAAAAACTCGACACCCTCATCATTGCAATTGACCACGAGATTGTCTCTAAATCTTCCGGCTAGTGGGTAGAAGTGAGTGAGGGTTTCAGACAGAGAAACCTTTAAACGTTGGGATATTACGTGGACCTTCTCTTCATGTTCATCATCACCACCTCTAGAAGAAAGAGTACTGGAAGCGTAGAAGAAAGCGACGGTTGCATAACAAAATGGAGTAAGCTAATCTCTAAATGAAAGCGTATAGTTTTTGAGGTGATGGGGAGTGGGAGAAGATGGCTTGATGGTTTCTCTAGCAATGATCTCAACCTTAATCTCGATCTCCATGGTTTTGGACTCCTCCAATCCTTTCTTCTCCATAATTGGGTTTTGAAGTTTTGTTCCTGCAAAAGATTATATAAAAGAATTGGATAATATATAGACTAAACTAGCTCATAGGAATGGTTCCTTTGTACTCGTGCAGATTAGGTAAATACGTTGCACGTGAATCATGATTTTAATTTCTTGTTCATTTAAAAAAAAATAACAATACTATATTTACTTCAAAAAGTAATAAATTTATGAAATGCATTCATTACATCACACTAATATATAGAGATTTGTTACAAGCGACGAATCAAGACTACACCATCATTTTAATTTATATTTTTTTTTTGGGATAAATTATAATAGATCTTCTGACGTTTGTTTCAAATATAAATTGTTTCTTATAATTCTGAAAATTATATTCTATCCATTAAAGTTTTTAATTTCATAACAAATGACCAATTTTATTAATAAATTGTCAATTAATTAACAGTTTTTAATAATGTTATATATTTATTTCAGTTAATAATTCATGTAATCTTATTATTGTATAAGATAGCAGTTAAAAATTTCATTTTTTTTCCAGTTAATTTAATTAAATAAAAATTTTGACAAGAGGGTATTTGTAATTTTTCAAATCACATAAGACAATCTGCATTTTAAGTAAATCTCAAAAACTACATTTGTAATTTAAACCTTTTTCTTTTTCTTTCTTTTTTTTTTTTTCTTCTTTTAAACTAGTTGGTACGCACGTGCTTCACGTGGGGTCGTGTTATAGTTATAATATTAACTTCTTCTTTTTCTTTTTCTTTTTTTAAAATTTATATCATGTGTATTAGTTTCAAATTTTTTAATTTTAGTAAAAAATATAATTATGTTAAATTTATAAAATTTATTGTATTAATTTTTAAATTTTAAAGGGGTTTATCTTTTTATTTTTATTTTGTATGTTTTCAATGGAACTCTTAACAGAGGTGTTGGTATTGTTAAATACTACTGTATGGACTAATTGTTACGAGAGTTTAAACATTTTGAGAGAAAAGAGCAAAGATGAGAGATAACAGTTCTACATTTTTTTTTTTGGAAAAATTTCAACATAGATAAAAAAATTACAAAAATATGTTAACTGTAAATAGTTTTGTGATGGGGTACAAGTGAAATATTGTGAGCGCGTAAGTGTGACTTAAATCCCTCCATGTTTGTATTTTTTTTTTCTCCCACTAGAATGTGATCTTCTCTTTTTTTATATACTAGTGACGGTGCACGTGCATTACA